AGGGCACTCAACAATATGAGCTTTCGGTTCCGAGGAGTATTGAAGGTGGCTTGTTCTGACTTGCCCTTTAAATAAGTTTCCGAAGGGTCTGGGAAGGGCTTCAGAAGTTCTAACTTGCCGCTGCCTCGCGGAAGATGTACGAAGAGCTTCTAGAAGGGTTGAAAAAATTAAACCGTCTCCTGGCATGTGGCTCAGCTTGACTGAGAACTTGCCAGCATGTTGAAGGGTCTCGTAAGGGGTTTTGAAGGGCTATTAGAAAGGGTTCGAAGCTCTGGCGCATGTGGGCTCGATTTTGGTGGCAAATTGCCGATTAGAAGGAGCTCAGGAAGCGGAAGCGGCTTCGAAAGGCATTCACAGGGGTTGGGCGCTGGCATACTTTGGAGTGCGATGTTGGTTCAAACTTGCCGTTTTCAAAGTTTTGCGTGTTGAAACGTTTCTCCGCGAAATAGAACTCTCATTGGCAGGCACCGCGACACCGGTGGGTCCAAACTGGACGGGGGGGGGGGGGGGGGGGCGCTAACTTGCCGCATACACGAAGTTTCAGCCCCTGTTCGGCTACCTAACAAGTACAATCAGGTGTCGTTAGTTTTGCCTAGACTGAGGATTCTAATTTGAACTTTTGAACTAAGCTCTTGCCACGCAAGTCTCAGTCAGTCATCCTTAAGCCCTAAAATCAACCATGTAGGTCTGATCTCCCTGGCAGAGTTGGAGTGCGGAAGCCCAATACTTGGTGACCTGTAGCTTCCCATTCTCGATGCCACGTAGCTGTCACAATGCGCCTCGACTCTAAGACCTCTACAATCTGTACAGGACCCGTCACCCCATGCATAAGCTCCATCTCTACAAGAACTGGCACCCTTTAGTCAGCCGCAGCTCAAAATTCTCAAGCTCCGAAAGCCAACCATGAGCCGCATGAGGCTAAGCAAACCCTAAGGCTTCCTGCATGTCGGGCGGACGGCGTCAAGTCAGCGCTGTGTTTACGGCGCTTAGGACTAGATGCCCACGAGAGATCTGCGGCTGTAGTCTGCAAGAGCGCGCAAACTTCTAAAAATTCACCGTTTTGGCAACAGCAACTTTCCAGATCTCCACCTCGGACTTAGCAGGCTCAACTTCAAAGACTCCTGCAAACCTGGAGATGCGATTAAGGAAAGTTGAGCCTCACCTCTGGAAAAGGAAATCTGGAAATCCTTGCATACGCGCTGCAGCGTGTTACGGAGAGTTCTTTGACAGGGCTCGCGGCACGACGTGCAAGGGCTCCAGGGACCTTTGGGCGCTGTAGGCCTATGTGCCGGAGCTTCAGGGACGAAAGAGTTCTGAAGGCCAAGGCATGGGAGGACCTTCGATGTCGAGGGCCAGGGCCGTTTCGGTGGCGCGTCGAAGGCGAGCCCCGCGTTTGGGCGCAGCTATAAGGTGCACAAAGACGCTGCATGTTCGTGCACAGGGGCCCATTTAGCACCCACAGGCCCAGCCCTTTTTGGGTTCGGGGCTTCCAAGCCAGCATTTCTGCATCGGTTTCGCTTCCCACTTGTCGACCAGGCCCCAAGCGATCTTGAATGTGTACTAGTATCACGTATTGCTAAATGCGGATTGCTTGCCTACAACTCTGCGGATGCGTGCGCAAAGCTTCAGTCACATCAGCCATCATTCGGACATTGGTGAAAATCCGAAATGCTATGTCGAAACCGAATGCTGTCTCAATGCTGCGCTAGATGGGGGGCTTGAACGGCGGCTCGTACTGCGAATCAACATGTTTTCAATGCATCGCCCAATTGCGAAGAATGTTGGAACACAGCGACTTTTCCTAGCAGCATCATATGAGCACTTAGGACTTAACCTTGCATAGGAAATAATGCTGTGCCCCGAAACAGATGCTCCGCCGCCTGCAGTCTCGCCCCTGCAACCCACCCGCGTAGGGCGCAGCACAGACCAGACAGCGCCCCAGGAACAGGAAGCACTGGTTACGGAACCAAATGTGGTCCAACCAGCTGTCAACAAACGTTTTCGGGAACAGCCGAGCGGTTGGAACCAGGATGTGGTTTGATGGCATGATTCAACCCACACGGTGTTCACGATGCAGGGTTCTGCAAATTGGGCGTTTCGCGCTTTTGGGCGTACGACTCTTGCAATCGCGGAGACTGCGAGCACCACCACTAATGATCAACACACCAGTGCCTGGTCAGGCATGTCGACTTGCTGGTAAGCTTCTAGTGCCTCCAGGCGCAGCGCTCGCAGCGGGCTCAGCCCTACTCTCGACTACGCATATAACTTCTTGGAAGTCAGCCACAGCGCCTACATGCACCAACTCCCCCGCCTCTTGGCCGGCATCACCAAGTTTATTGAAGCCCAGCCAGAGGTTTTTGAGCGCCGTCGTGCGGAGCAGGTTGACTAAGGCCTGGTCGCGGAACTTCCGCATAGATGAAGGCTCTGCGTAACAGTCTCAGACGTTCTTGCAGTGACCATGAAAAATTAGGGCTCAATGAGCTGAACGAGCTGCTATAAGTTGCGAAAGTCTCCGATGTGTATTGCTTTGCAATGGGCTTCAGCAAGCTTCAGGGAATTGTGAAAACTCTAAAGACGTGCGCTGCTTTTTCTCGGGCAAGGGCTTCGGTAATGTCAGCTCGCTTCTGTGCTCATGAGGGTCTGCATGCCTTAACACGCCCCCTCGGATCGTGCCTTTTGGTGCGGTCCGCATTTCAGACCACATGCACACGTCCAGCTGTACAGCATTGCGCCGGCTGCAATTCCATCAAAAGTGCCTCTCGGAGAGTGATTGTGCGGATCCTCCTGGCACTCCCTCTCAAATTTCTGCAGCCCGGCAAATGGAAAGCGTAGCCTCTGGAAAGCGCACAGCACACATTGTCGTCCTCGGTCATGACCAGTGCTTCTCCGCCTTCGCGCGGCTCAGGGTCCTGCCTGGCTCCAGGGGCGATCACCATGTAGCCTCTGGGCGTCGTGCTCTGCGGCACCGGGTTAGCTTTGGCTGTTGGCTGTGCCACGCTTGCCCATGCCCTTCCGATCATCTCCTGCACGTCTGCCTGACCAGCCGGACGTGGATTGACTCCACCCAGGAACTGACCAGACTGCTGTCCTTCACGCGGGTCAGCTCGATCGTCTGACCTGGTACTTGTGCTTGTTCTCGACGACTCGCCCCCTGGGATCTGAACGGCTGGTGCTCGGGTTGCACCCCGGGACCCCGACTCCTCGGCAACACTAAAAACACCACCATGGACTCGGCTTTGTGCTCGTGGTTCTCGGCTTTGTGCTCGTGGTTCTCGGCTTTGTGCTCGTGGTTCTTGGCTTTGTGCTCGCTGTGGTTCTGGGCTTTGTGCTCGATGTGGTTCTGGGCTTTGTGCTCGCTGCGGTCCTTGGCTTCTGCCCTCCGCCAGGTCGTGTCTGCGAACGGGCGTTCGCGCCCAAGGCCGCCCTTCTCCAGTTGCGGGAGGCTTTCCCGTAGCCGACTCAAGCCCTTGGTTGGTGGCGAACTCGACTTTCAAAGAGTACTGCCACCGCCCCCCAATGAACATCACTGCCATGCCGGTCAACAGGCCAATCAGGAAGATCAGGGTCACCTGGTTGCCTGCGGTCACCGTGTTGAGGTACTCCAGCATAAAGGCAAACTTCACGAGGAAAGATTCAATGAAGTCCTCGTTGTCGCCCTGAACAGCACAACCTTGCAAGTTCATGGCCACAAGCATCTGGGCCAGTCGAAAAACTCTCGGCTGCCTTGGCTTCCGTTGCGCCCACGGCGCTCAATGTACTCACCTTCTCCCACGCGCTCGCCGTTGTCCGTGACCATGCCGAGGATGAACAACAACATCATCAACCTCCTGGCTGCCAGCACTTTGGTGCCGAGGTCTGCGGGGTTGACCTCCGTCGGCACAGCTGCTATGCGCAGCTCTTTTCTAGCCACCCAGCCTTGCAGCCACAAACAGGACGTGGCCAAGTGCTTCACTCTCCCCACACCGTTGCGTGAGGCGATGGCTCTCGCCACCGAGCTGTCGGTCCTGGCCACCAAGTGCACGTCCTCGGGCCGCACTCTTTGTAGGAAAGCCACAGCCTTCCTGACCAAAATGGCCTCGCCAACGGTTTGGGTCAGTGCCACCAGCTCGGCTTCCCCCGAGCTCATTGTGACAACTTTCTGGGACCTGACAAAGGAAAACGCCAGGGCCCCATCCACATATATCTGTCCCGAACTCAAGCTCTTTCTGGTGGCTCGGTCGTTGGCAAAGTTCGAATCGGAGACGGCCTCAACCAGGTGGTTGGCTGCTTTGGTTGGCTTGGCTGTGGGCGGCTCTCCCTCGCACCTTAGGATGGACTCGCCTCGGCGCATCCTCAAGTTGATGCCGTACCCCTGGGTTCCCCAAAGGTACCCTGCCAAGTGTTCCAGCACCTTCTGCGACGTGGTCGTGGGCTTGCTTGCCTTGGACGCCAGGTACTGTATGACCACTTGAGCGTCCGGCCTTTCGCAACTTATGTAAAGAAGCTTCCCAACAACTGTCCTGAAGGTGGTGCCGGCCTCGGCGCTCAATGCGTTGCCCTCGTCCTTGTCGAACACGTGCTCCTGCGGGCCTGGGGTGCTGCGCTGCTTGGGCTTCCCGGTGAGCTCCCAGATATCTAGTAGAAGCGGGTGGCCGGCCGCACGGTGATGCTGTGGTCGGCCTCTATCAAGTAGCGCCGCTTCAAAAACTCGAACTCATCTCCTGGCTCGCCGTAGGGCCCCGCAATCTTGACCGTGCACTTGTCCTTGAGGTTCTGGTGCAGGGGCTCGACGATTTCGGGAACACCCGTGGACAGCATGTCATCCACATGGAGCTGCGCCCCGTAGCTACCACAAAGTGACCTGTAGAGCATGGGCACCTCAGTCATGCCCTCCAAGTGGCAGCGCGTGAGGTCACCGTTGAATTTCAAAAACCACTCCTGCGCCCCACGCCTTTGCCCTGGCAACACCCTTCCAAGCTTCCACCGCTTGTGCTCGCCATGCTGCTTGTACCACGAGGCCGGGGAACTGATGACGACCGGCTCGTCTGCTGGCTGTTCCACTGTGAGGTATGCGTCCTTGATGTCCAGCACATATATAGGTGTGCCCCACGTCATAGCCATCATGGGTGTGAGCCGGCCAAGGGGTGCCACAGAGGCGGGCGCAAACGTCTCGTCATCATCCATCTGGGTCGCCCACTTGTACTGGCGGGCCACAAGACGCGCTCTACGAAACCAACCATGCTCGCCCTTTTTCCAGACCTTGGCAAAAGTCGTCGACAAGTGCTCGGCATCCTCGCCAATGTCCGGGAGGAGAACGCCCATCTTCTCCAGCCGCTCTATCTCCTCGATCTCGGCTGCCTCGTCCAGTTCGTCCACCGTGGCCTGTGGCAACGTGGGTGGCAAGTCGTCATTGGCCATCCCCTCGTCACCGCCAAGGGTCTCCTCCTCGACAAAGCTTGCCTCGATGCCCGCCGTCTCGCGCCATTCCGCGTCGACCGTCTCGATGGTCCTGATGGTTGGCTCTCCGCCTCCTGGTTCGCTGCCTCTGGGGCTGTCTTCGGCCTTCCGCTTCTCGCCTTGGCTCGGCTCTGATGGTGCGGCCTTTGGCCTGGCAGCCGGCGGCTGCTCATCTCCATGGCCGGCCTTGCGCTTCACACCGCTTGGGCTTGCGTCCGCTGCCGCCAAGAGCTCGTCCTCTGAACTCGTGCTCGTTGGTGGGTCGCTTCCTGCTTCGTCTCCAGGGCCTTCTTGTTCTCGAGGTCTGGCTCCTGCGGCCGGCGTTGCTGGTGACCCGAACGAGAGGGCCGGTGTGGCCGGCACTCCCCCTGAGGCTGCTCCAGGCGTTGCCGGCGTCGGCGGGGCAAGCAAGGCACTAGGTTCAGAAAGAACAGGCAATCCGACTGCTTGGGGCTGCTGCCTTCGCTTCGCCTGCCTCCGCTTCTCCACCACACCGTGCTCCCACGGCAACCCAAACATCTCTGCCTCGATGGTCTCCGCTGTCATCTGTATGTCGGCGTTGCCTCGGCGCACCGCGTTGCACTCAAGGTGGCCAAAGGTGCTCATGAGGCGGTGTGCCCCGTTGTGCGGATTGATTCCGCACCAAATACCTTTCAGCCACTGCGCCTCGCCCTTGTACTTGCGGACGACGCGCCCATAGACAACCTCATCAACTCGCAAAGCTTCTGGTCGAACACCTTGCCTCCATAGGCCAGCTCGAAGGGGATCTTGTTGATGCCGGGCAGCAGGTGGAAGCGGTTGTAATAAATAAAAGCCGCGTGGCCTTGCACCCAGACTCGAAGGTGACTGCCCACGCTGAGCTTCCCCCTCTTGGACTCAAACTCCTCCACAAACGTGTTGCCCAAACGCCTCACCGTCTGAATGGCTCGCTCAGCTGCGCCGTTGGCCTCGTGAACGCCCACTGGTGTAGTTCGCTGCTGGGTCCTCCGGCCCAGTCGCTGTCGGGCCGCGGCGGTGCTTCGAACCAAAGCTTTCACAGACGGCTCCCCATCGGACTGCATAATGATGGTGTCCTCGCCATGGAGCCCCACCGTAAATCGAGTGAGCTCCTCCGCGGCCTGCCTCAGCATGCCTGGCCCCTTGTCCGGGCCTGGCACGGATAGCACCATCCGGGTCTGCAGGTCCACTGCTATGAGGTTCGTGGCCTCCTGATATGCGCGGGGCTGTGCTCGGCTCTCTGGGTCCACCTTGGTGTAGTAGAAGTCCACCTGCACCACCGGGGTGGCATTGTCGTGCGTGTTCTTGCGGTGGTGGTCGTCCCGGCTCCTTGTCTTGACGCAGGCCTCGCACCAAGCAGCAAACGGCGCTTGGCTTGTGCCTCCTCGTCCGGCGGGCCCTCTGGCTGTCTCATCTCGGCCGGCTCTCTGACCATGTCGTCCTCCACGGCCTTGGCTGCCCATGTGCCCACATAGGCCTCCAGCTCTTCTTGGGTAAGCCCGGCCGGCGGTGCACCCATGTCTCGTCCTCTGCTTCGCCTTCGGCTTCGGCTGCGTGGCTCGGGGCGGCCCCACCTGCACTGATGGGCTGCCCTGGCTGACCGGCCGCTTCACCAACGATCTCCTCCGGCATGTCCTGGGGCGAGGGCTCGTACTGGAATCTCTCGGACGCCTTGGGCTCCAAGGTTCCGGGGAAGCAAGTGTTGTCAAACGGGGTCATGTTGAAAAGCGTGACCCTTGGCACCGGCAGGTGAGAAACTCTTCCAAAGGGATTTGCCTCATAGCGATAATCGCTGGAGTTCTCAATCTGCAGCCACTTGCCCCCCTCGCTCTGCAAGAAAGTCGTCCTGCAACACCAGTAGTCCGCGTCGTACCACTCGCGCCCGTCCATTAACAAAGTGGCGGCCGGACTGTAATGCATCTTCCAGCCGCAGCCTAGGGAGTGCATCCCTGCGACGCCCACTTTCTCCAAGATTTCGGCTGGGAGGTCAATCTTGGGCACGCTGTCCGGCAGGGACCTAGGGATCTCGGTGAGGGCCCGAATGTGCCCGGATATCACCAGGCTGTGGTTGCGGTAGTTCACCTCCGTCTTTCTCCCAAAGGGCTCCTCGAGGTGCAGCTTTCTGCTGCCGGCCCCGCCATCGTGCTTCAGCTGCCAGCCTCGTCGAAGTAGCTTTCCCACGGCCAGCAGTGGGCACCGCACTGGGCCCACCACGCAATTTTCGCGTATAAGGTAGCGCTTGCCTGCCACATCCTCAAGAAGGAACTCGTAGCGCTTCACGCCCTTGGTGCCGATGGTGTTGCCCTGGGCGTCGGTGAGGAGAGGGGCCGAGGAATCTGCAAGTTCCTCGCCCAGGTGCCGAAAAAACTCAGGAACCATGGAGGCATCGGCCCCCGAGTCCAGGATGATCTCGCAATGCATGCCATCATGGGCCTCGCCGCTGTCCGGGGGGAACTTGGCCTTATACTTTAGAAACGTCACGGCCCGGACCTCGAAGTCGTACTCCCCCTCGTTCTCGTCTTCGACCATGTCGTACACCTCCAAGATGGGTGCCGAGGGAGGCGTCACCATGCGTATCATCCGGACTCCCTTTCCTCCTCCTTGGGTGCTGGCCGAGGTGCTCGCAGCTGAACTTGTAGAGGCGCCGGACGGTGTGGCCGGGGCGGTCTCCTCCTGAACTTGGTTCACCCGGCCGCTCTTCCCTTTTCCTTTGGCTGGCTTGCTCCAGCAATCTCGCGCATAGTGCCCGCGCTTCCCACAATTGAAGCATTCCGGGGCGGAGGCGTCTCGCCCGGATCCGCCCTTGCTCTTGCCCTTCTTCTTGCCCTTTCCGTCTTTGCCCTTGCTGCCGTCATTGGTGCCTTTGCCCTTCTTCCCCTTCTCCACGCGATCCACCTCCATTGGGGTAGGGCCGCTGCTGTCTTGAAGAGAGGGCATGGCCAGGCTGGTGTTCGTGTGCCACTTTGCCGTGGACCGCTCGTAGAGGAGGATCTTGTCCCGAACCTCCTGGTAGGTCGTCTCTGGTCCCAAGGCCATGTGCAGCTGCGCTTGTAGTGCCGGGGGAGCCGCTGCCACGATAGTTGAAATTCTGAGGTCCTCTGAGTACCGACTCCCCGACACCCGCTCATACTCTCGAATAAGCTCCTCGTATCGCCCCACTCGCTCGCTGAGTGCTCGGCCTGGGTCCAGCTTGGTGGCGGTGAGCTGGCTCGCTAGAGCCAGCTGGCGCTGTCTGCTGCTTGGCATCATCTCCACAAGCAGCTGCCGCCAAGCCTCATAGCCATTGTTGCGAACCACAGCCCGCACGAGGCGAGCCGGTCTGTTCCTGACAAAGCTCAGGAGTATAGCGTACAACTCGCGTGAGCGAGTCTGGGTCTCCAAGTCCATCGTCTCCATGGGCTTCTCGGTGCTTGCTTGGGCCTCCACCCACTCGAGCTCCTCGACAAACTTATTGTCGATCACCCCCAGGTAACTCACAAAGGAAAACCGCCAATCAACCCATTGGTCTGTCTCCTGGTCCCGGGTCTCCGGCTTGTATATATCCGGCCTTTGCACCAACCCCTTGCAAGTTGCTCGCTCCTTCGCTGCATTGCAACATGTCCCGCCGTCGTGGCGGCGATGTGCTGGACAACGGCTTCTTGGGCCGCTGCCCCCTGGCTTGCTGCAGGCTCAGCTCCTGCAGTCTGCTGTCCAGCGGCAAAGCCCACTGGCGTAGTCATGTCCACCTCGCCGATCTGAACCTTCCAAAGCCAAGCCTCAGCGTCTGCCGGTGCAGGGCAAAATGCTCTGGCACCGACCCTGGACGCGGCTTGCTCGAACTTGAAACACCAAAGGCTCCCGGCACCGACGAGGAAGACTCTCCTCAAGGGTCCAACCCAAAAGGTGAGGTCGGTGAGGCCGATTCCCTGCTGCTCAACCGCAGCACAAAAGAAGCTCGCAGCGAGAAGAAAACAAGCAGGCGCCCAGCGGCGGTCGTAAAAGAGCTCGTCGTTGGGCCCAGCCGTCGGCACAGCGGCACGGAGGCAATGCTGCACAAGGCAGGCTTACGGGCACGCGGGGCTGGCACTAATGGCAGCACTGGGGATAGTGGGTTCGGTCCCCGGCACAGATCGAATGAAATGTGCCTTGGAGCGCAAGGCTCCGCTACCATGAAAACTCAAAAGACGTGCGCTGCTTTTTCTCGGGCAAGGGCTTCGGTAATGTCAGCTCGCTTCTGTGCTCATGAGGGTCTGCATGCCTTAACAAATTGAGAGAAGCGCACAACAAGGGGGCATTTAAGGGGGAATCTAGCGTTTAGTCAGCAAATCCACGTTCTGCAAACGGGCTGACTGTTTCAAAGTACAACAACTCACAGTTGCTACCGAACGAGTTTCCAGCCATGAAGCCTTCCCGAAGACCTGCCCGGCTACATCCATCCGAAGACAGACAAACCTACACGAAGATGCATGTCTAGCTCCGGCTCGAGCTATAGTCTGCCTGAAGAAGGTAGCATCGACGTCGCTATGTGCATGCTATGTCCCTTTGCTGTTTATGTTAGGCGACGACCCTTTGCCTTGACTCCATGGTCGGTGATGTTGTTGAACTCCAGGCTGAGGCTTTCGAAGGCTGCTAGCTGCACGACGCACTTGCAGATAGCCTCATGTCGTTTTGGCATCCTCCGGAACAAGATGCTTTATCAGACTTTGAGGTCACCACGTCGCTGCCTTCATCTCCGATGCCGTTTCCGGCTATGTCCAAATGCTTCACGCTGAGCTGCGCAAGCATGTGGCAGATGGCCTTGCATCCAGCGAAAGTAGTGCCAATTGTGCATGTTGCAATTTGAACTCCTAGGGCCTAGATCTGCCGCTGACAAATACTGGGAGCAAACACTGCGTCTGAGTTTGTTCGATGAGGTCGATGACTGGACTCGACGTCGCCCCAATAGAGCGCCCCCCGCTCCAGGAGATGATGGTGCCCCATGTTTCCAACTTACAAGTAGGAAGGGTCGACCATTCGGTTCTTCGGCGCGGAAAATTGTTCAGGTACCGCACGGCACACGCCGGTTCGGACCGTTGGCCATGGCAGTGATCGATAGTTTTCCTAATTATGTTGTCTTGCCTCCTTCCAGTTCAGTTCACGTCATACGAAGAGCTGCAACGGGACGTTTTGGAGCCCAAAGCCTCTCAGAAGGCTCTGGAAGCCCGAGAGTCGCCCCGAAAACTTCGGCCTGCGACGGGACCTCTGCCAATCGGACCACTCTGAAAAGCTCCGTTACATGCACGCACAAGGACACCAGCAGACGTTCCGTTCATCATGCCTTGGCGCCATCTGGCCCGATGGAGTTGTTGGCAATATTGAAAGATTGCAGGTTGCTGTGCTTCTCGAAGACGCTGCACAGTGCCTGACAGTCACGAGTGACCTGGCCTTCGCTGCAACGGGACCTCTGCCAATCGGACCACTCTGAGAAAGCTCTGTTACATGCACGCACAAGGACCCCAGCAGACGTTCCCTTCATCATGCCTTGGCGGCATCTGGCCCGATGGAGTTGTTCGAGAAGCTCACATGGTGAACATCTTTTAGGCAGCTGCACTTGTCCAAGACGGCGCAGACTGCCTGAGAGTCACGAGTGACCTCTGGCCTTTGATTTCTTGCTTTCTAGACCACCGTGAAAGACGACCGTAAAGTCCCACTTTGGGGCGAATCGTAAACCCCCCTTGAAGTCCCATTTTGGGGGCTTTTGGGGCAGTCTCTCGCCTCGAAGTGCTCATCCGCGAGGCCGTTGCCACTGAGATTGAAATCATTGTCTGTAAGAGTTCCCTTCTCGAGAAGTGAGCAGAGGGCCTGACAGGCAGCGACTCCTCACGATATTGTCTGCGACGCAGCAAGGCAAACCCAGCACATGCCCCAAGCCCCTGGCACCTGGACAAGGCCTGATGCTCCAATGCCCAAATTCTGCAGCTCTCCGGGAATCTCCATGTTCTCAGGGTCAACATCTTGGACCTGGAGACAGCTGCACGCGCGGTGTCTGCAGGCAACATTTGACAGAAGAAACCAGGCCTCGCAGCTTCAACCCACCCTTCAACCCCCATTACAACCTTCAAACGCGGAAACGACGGGATATTGACTCCACCTCGCGATGGGTCCCACAAACAGTGGCCAGAGGCGTCGGAACGGCAGTGAATTGAGGCAAGGTTCCTCCGGAGCCACGGCGGCCTTCCACAATCCCAACAGCATCGTGGCAATGTTTGTCAGTGCCTCAAAAGGCGAGACACTGGTTTTGGGATCTTGCATGAAGAGTATGAAAAGCCTTACACAACCTCCGAAAATAGCTCGGCAAAAGTGAATGCCTGGGGCAGAAGTCTGTATTTCTGTCACATCACACGACGATTATGGCAGGGGCTACGACTAAAATCGGTTGTTGTGCAAGCGAACGTGTTGTGCCTTGTTCGTGCTTGTTCAATTCCCTCTACCTCGTTGGATCCATCTTCCTTGGTGTTGCTTGTCTGCTAGGCGCTTTGCTTCCTCTGTCAGCGTCTGTCCTGCTATTGAGCTTTGTCTTGATTTCGGCAACCGCGTGCGTCGTTGTGAGTGCCCTCCATATCTGCCGTCTTATGCTTCTTTCCAAGACATGCCTTGCAGACTCGCACACAAGACGCGATTCCACAGAGTCTGACACAGCTTTGGAGGCGCTTGATCTGGACAACTTACACAAAGTCACAACAACGAGGCTCCATAGAAACCCGACTGTAGCCTCTCAACAAGACCCCCTCCCTGCCACCCAGGCCTCTGGGTCGCGTGCAGGATGCATCCAAGGAAGGGCTTTGTGATACCTGGGCGTATACATGACGGGAACAGCTGGTTCGGGGAAGGAAACCCGAACAGGCCAAACCCTGCAAGGAAAGTTAATGCAACCCGGACTCAGGCCCTCGTCGTTCTCAAAGTCGGCCTGGCAGCGCAGGCCCAGAACACGCTTCGAAGCTCACCGCAAAATCGGCTCCAAGAAAGCGTCTCTCGCTCTCAAGAAGTGCGACGGCCCTCCATCAAACTTTCTGCGTCGGAGTTGCTGACAGAGGCTGCCAGTGCAAACAACATCCCCCCAACAGCAGGCAGAAAGGTCAAAACAAATCCTTAAAAACCCAAAACCCCAAAAACTCCGAAACCTCCCCCGAGATGCCTCGCGCCAGATGCGTTGGGCCATGATGTCATCCCCAGACCTGAGCCCAGTTTGTGGTTTAGGGTTTAGGGCCGTTCAGGGTTGAGGGCTTGTTTCAGGTTTGGTTTAGGTTGAGGGGATGTGGATGTGGAAGGTTTGGTGTTCAGGGCCCCAGACTGCCAGAGTCCCTGGAGTCCTTGGGATGGCTTGGGGTTCGGGTTTGCTTGAAGGCATGTTTTTGGGTTTAGGGGGTTCGGGGAACTCAGTCTTGGGATTTCGTGGAGCAGGTTCCGGGGAGGTGCATTCAGGGTTGCTCAAGCGCTTGTTTGGGACGCGGGGCACGAGACTTTTGATGCAGCCTTGAAGATTCTCCGCGTTGGGGGGCAGATATGGTGTGCTGTTTTGGGTTCTTGAGCTCTTGTTGACTAACTTGGCTGGTGACCTGTTTCGGTTCTCTCACTTGGCACGCACATACTTATTTTGTTTATTGCCTTGTTAGCGCTGGCTTGAAGTCAAGAGTCATGCTTCTGAAAACCGAGAAGAACACCATGAAGGGATCCCTAAACATTGGAACTCCCGGTTGGTGTTGGCTTGGCTCTGGCTTGGCTGTGGCTTTCAGTTTGGCTTGCTTTGGCAGGTGGTCTTTGGCCCCTACCAGGCCCTACCATTATCCAACTCATCATGCCTTGCAAACAAAGAACCGTCATCTAGGCAACAAGAACTCCCCAGTGCCTGAGGGCTGAGCTGAGCCTCCCCCTGTCCTACTCAATCGTCTTATTCTTACATAGACTCTGAAATGCTGGGAGTCCAAGGTGGGCTCTTGTTTGAAAGGTCCTGCACGGACTGTAGATGTCCTTCGAAACAGGCCATTCCCAACTGTAAATGAGAGCAAAGAGCCGCAAGATGTCCGAATGTCAACTGCCAGATCCCAGGAGACCACGCGAGACTCACTGCAAACGGCATCAACCATCCCCGCGCCCTTCCCACGCCAAGCCCCCATACTGAACGGAGTGCGAGCGACGCGACCAGGGTCCGCAGCTTGCGGCCGTAGTAGCCGGCCACCTGGAAAAACATGGTAAAAAAAAACATTAAAGAAATCTTGACAAAGCACGGAAAGACATGGAAAATCGATGCTGCTCAAGAACACGATCCGGAACCCATGACCGGTCACTACTACTCTTCCATACTCTTCAGTTCAAGCATGTTCAACCCTCTACTCCCAGCACCTGCGCTCGAACGGGCAGATAAAGGACGAGCGTCAGTAGGACCTGCAACAGGGCAACAGGGGCCTGATTGGTATGCGTTGGTATCATGATCGGATTGATGAGACAATTGGGGGA